AAATTTATATATACTCCAATTTATAAAATAGGAGACATGAGTGACAGATTTTTACACAGCCCAACTGCCCTTTGTTTTTATATTCCATATGTCTTCATATCGCATTTTGTTCTTCAGTATATTTCCGGAAAGAAACATTGTTTCTGAGGCTCCGAAGTAGAACCTCTTTATTGCTTGTGCCTCCCCATTCTCCAGCAGGGCCTGTCTCGAACCTCAGAGAACAAAGATGGCGGTGGGCACTGTCCCTTCCAGCCCCTCCTCCAGCAAGGCACACTGTGTGGCCCAATCCTGCCAGAAAGGTTTTAAGGTGGATATAGGAGAATTTTTTCCTTATTCATAGAAAGTATCAAAGGATAAAATGCCCATCTTCATGAGATGCCCGGCTATCTCCATGTGGCACCTGAAACACTGCATCCCTCTTGTAACCAGAGCAGAGGTGAACATGTTGATGCTGCAGAGAGGGAAGGAAAATACAACTCCCAAGTCCTAAACAACATTGTTGAACTCCTGCCCCGAGTCTGAAACCACCCTGGCTCCAGACCGTTGATAATGTGAGATGACGACGTCGGTCCTGGAGATGCTGCTTATTCATGGTGCATTCTGTTTCTGGCAGCAGAAGCCCCTAACTGTCCCATCCCACCACCCTTTCAGAATTACCAAAGAATCCAAATCACATCTGGATGTAACCCCAGGAGCTGTGAAAATCCAGAGCCAATGGTGGTTACACCCCGCTCATAATGGGTTGAGTCGCATCTGCCCTGACTCTGGCATGGTGCAAAATCCATCCACTTTGCAAGCCTTCATTAGACCTGCCCTGCAGCCTCAGCACCTGCCAAGCACCAGCTTCCTTAAACCCTGGGGAGCCCTGTTGACTTCCTACATTCAGGATGTGGTGGCTGAAATGAGCTTAGATGAGTCCCCAGCCTAAGACAAAGATGTGTGGACAAAACTCAGAAAATGTATCACTTGATGTTTATGCGGTGGCTTTGCTTCTCAAATCCCACAGTATAAGCTACAGAAATGGACTTTTTTTTTTTTTGCTTTGAGTTTGATGTTAATTTGCCAAATCCTATGGGAATACAAAAGATGCGTCTAGTAAAAAATAAGAGGTAACCTTTATTTCTGTGTGTAGGCAATATTCTAAGACCATTTCGTTTATTAATACCTCCAATGTCTATACTGTTGGTGTCATTCCATTTTTAAGTTTGTAAGTGAGAAAACTGAGTTATAGAGAGGTGAAGTAACTTGACCAAGGTCACACAGCTAGGACTGTGTCATGCGACTGCACAAATCCAGGTCACCTGGACCTCAAGTACGTGTGATACGCTGCTGTGCCATCTCCCCACAGAGACTCTAACGATACAAGAGCGGCATGTGAGTGAGCAGCAAAAGGAGTATTTCAGAAAAATGAATGACACAAAGCCTCTATTTCTGGACATGTTCTTGCAGAGACAAGAAAACCCAGCTGACAGGTTTATGGCAGAGATGTCTTCTACCTCGTAGGAAAAGTTAACTGAAATGTTCTCAAATACCATTCAAAATCATGTTCTTCAGGGCTGTGAAAAACCCAGACAAGGCTGGCATTGCAGGATGGAACATTGTAGAAGGGCTTCATGGAGCAGCAGAACTTTGTGTACACGGGACAGAGAGTGAGGATGTGTGAGGAAGATGATGGAAGTGGAGCAGGAGAGGGCTTCCATCAGCTGTGTTCGAAGATGTCCATGTGTTCCAGTTTACATGTCCATCATTCCATGCACCCCACGTGGATTCAGCTGATTTACCCACACAGGCAGGCATCCCCTTTTCCCTGCCAGTCCATGTGTTTTCCTCCTCTGGATAAATATTTAGTAACAGGAGACAACCTTTGTGGGCAAAGTCAATTTCTTATCAAGGGCCAAAGGTTTTAAAATAGAATCCGAAGGTACATAAAAGTGTTCTTACTCTTTATCCATCATTATGTACCATACCAGAAGCTCTGATGGAGTGAAGATAAATATGTGAAGAACCAATCCATGTTCGATAACAGAATTTGGGGCTAGTAGAGCGGGATCCGGAGGCACTGGATTTGTGATAAGTGGAACCGTGCAACAGTTTCCGGAAGCACATTGAGATGGTTTCTGCTGATAAGGGATTCCATCCATTGGTCATGTGACACATGGAACAAAACGCTCATTAGTCACTAGTCTGAGCACCCAACCACATTGTAAACCAAAAAGTGTCTGAGTTAGGTCTCAATCAATTCACAAGTTTATTTTGCCAAGGTTAAGGACGTGCCTGGAAGAGATAAAAAAACAAAAAAACAAAACCCAAAAAACCAACCATGGAAAAACCCATGGAATCACAGAAACAGTCTGGCCTGGAGTCAGAAACAGCAGTCTGGTCTGTGCCTTTCTCCAAAGATGAGTTTGAGGGCTTCACTATCCAAAGGGGAAAAGTGGGCTGGAGGCGAAGATGGGAGGACATGGTGGTCCACGTGTGGCAAGAGAAAAGCAGCAGGTAGGGAACTGGTCAATGACAACTCCTCTTGTACTCCGTAAAATTGACACTTTACATGAGATAAAATGAACATTGAATAGATACTTAACCTGTTGTCTGCTTGGGAACAAAGGGAAAAGCAGTTGCTTGCATGACTTAGCTTTCAGCTTAATTTTTCCTTTTGGCATAATGAGTTGAGGTCCTGAGTTTTTATTTTCCTTTCACAAAACTAAGTCATTTTGGTTCTGCTGAGAGTGCTGTGTAACCTGACTGCTAGCTAAAGGTTTAGCTAGCAGTCCCATCATAGACCTGACCCCACTGTTTTAGAGAAGTCTTGAAAAGTTCACAGTGCCTGCCAGGCAACACATTTTGAGGCATTTAGTCAGTACACTTTGAATAAATGAATAGCTGTTTGGCTACGAATGCACAATGTAATAAGCACTCTATAACCAGACAACCATGTCAAGCATGTCTCCCACAGGGAGACAATACATTGGAGACTTCTCTAAATGGTCAAGTGCACCATGCTTATTTGGTAATACAGTGCTTATTACATGAGTGAGGAACGTGCCTCAGTACAATTATGGCAAGAAATGCAATGAACTCTGCTAAATGGAGTTTGTAACGCTCATGAAAAGTGCTTTGGAATTTTAATGTGTGATTAAAGCATCTACTGTTGACATTATTCCACAAAGAAGAGCTTTACCTCTGATAACACATTCCTTGGTTGTCTGTCACTGGGTCTCTGTGCTTGACAGAGTTGAAATTGTGCGTGTGTGCTGTCACACAGACATTGTCTCGGCATCACTTCCTAAAACGCACATTTGAATTTAGGATTCCAGCAAACACGGAAGGCACTGGTGGTTAAAGTGCTTCTATTTAGAAAATACGCTAAAAACAGCAGCTGGAAGTACTCATCTGTCCAGGCTGAGGGCTGGCTTTCAAGATGTGCTTTCAAGCAGTGCCACGAGGAGCAGCCTGGGCTGTCGCTGGCGTTGCTGTCGGCGCCGTGCCTTGGTGTTGCAGGGTCTCTGCCACATGGAGCATCAAACCTTGGATCTGAATGGCGATACAACCTGACTTTTCTGACAATCTCAGGCTATGTAAAAAACAGACTATAAAACATGTAGTCAAAATGCCATGTGTTTGAATAACACGTTACAGTTTTCAGTTTGCATTCATAGTCAAACAGCTATTCATTTATTCAAAACGCAGCAACTAATGCCTGGCAGGTGCTGTGAGCTGTTCAGGACTCCACAGGGGAAGCCAGAGCCTCGCCCTCAGGTGCTTACACTCTAGCAGGGCTCAGTCAGAAGGTCACCCTGTGAGGAGCTCTTTGGACCATGCAGCCACAGCCTCGGAGGCTAGAATCGATTCTAATATCTACATATAGATAATTTCTTTTAAAAAAATAGCAACACTGTGCGGTCGATGTACCTGACAGAAATAACTCAAGAAATTAGGGTTGCCACATGGAGGTTGCTGAGGGGAGGGTGCCACGTGAGGGTGCTATATAAACTGCATGCTTTTTACAAGCACTCATCATTCTTCTCTCCAACTTGCCGCCGCTGAGCCATCACTGTATGTAAGTTTCCCCAAATAAACCCCATGTTTTATTCAGAATAATAATAATAGAGGCTAGAATCAACACCTTGGGGCACCAGGTGGGGGCGCTCCATCAGACAGGGCGAACAAAGACTCTCTCGTGGGCAGTGTCTGAGCTGGGGCCTCAGAGACAGGAAGACAAGGAGAAAAGCATCCTGGCAGAAGGAAAAATAGGAGTTAAGATGACAGGGGCAGGAGCCCATTGTCTGGAGTCCCAGAGGAGGTCAGCGTGGCAGGAGCCCCGCTGAGCAGCTGGAGGGGGCGGTGAGGCGAGTCAAGAAATAAAGGGGCTGAAAAGGAACCAGGTTGTGTATGCAGCTAAGGGTGTTAAATTTTATGGCATATAAAACGGCAAGATGTCGAAGGATTTTAAACAGGAGAGTGAAATGAATAGATTTGAAATGTAAAAGCGTCGTTTTAGCATCACATTCTGATAATATTTATTGTAATGAAAACTGTGGAAGGAAATGTATTGTTGACTCTACTCAGTACACGAGGAAACTGAGGCTAAGGGAGGATAGCGTCTTTCCCTAGGAGCTTCAGTGAGTGAGGGAGAGCATCAAACCCCAGGTCTCCTCATGCAGGGCTTCCTGCTCATTTCTTTCCACCACAGTTGCCTCCTTTATATCTGCCTGTAACCAGGTTATGTGGAACAAAATCAAATGTCAAATAGGAACATTTTCTTTAAATGTCGACATACCTAAAATTATTTCGGATTATACTTGTGGCATTAGGTTGAGCTGATGAGAAATGAAAGTGTGGCTGAAAATGCATTTGGAGATTTACTCTAGAATAAGAATAATGAAAATGTTTGAAACAAAGATTTAATCTGATTGACGGAAATAAGTTACATGTGACCAGGCTAATAGGCTATATTTAAACATTCCACTTTAAAACATTTTTAAAAATCTTTTCTGTAGATATGAAGTCATCTGCCTGGAGACTTCCCCACTACAGCCCAGGCCATCCCTCCTTAGAAGCTCACTCCACGATTTATGACACTTACCCTTCATATCATCTTCAAGCATCTGTCAGAGGCGTCTGAACCAAGGGCGTCTCCATCTTGAATAGGGGCTGGGTCAGATGAGCTTGGGAGCTGCTGTGCTGCATTGCCAGGAAATTAGGCTTTCTTAGTCACAGGATATTTGCAGTCACCGGAACAAGTTCATATGTTTACAGAACCAACCCGGTGTTACCGTGGGTAGCTAGTCAGACATGAGCAGGGCACGAGAGCCTCCCCCTCCCCACACCAGGAATATCAGGCAACCATCTGGTGATGGTCAGGCAGTTGTTTAACTTTCTCTCTAAAGTAATAATTGGTCACAGCCGGTGCCAGAGAAAGCCCATCTCTCAATAGATAAAAACACCTGAAACTATTGATCGGCTTCCCAATAACATCTCAGGAGTTGGGCGAGTGGGCTTAAGCACATGCACTAAGAGGCAAAATGGTGGAGTTTAACTGGTGTAGGACCTTCTAGGAACACTCAGCCTGTAGGGGAAGAACGCCTCAAATGAGAATGCGTACAACTTCAGTAACCACACTGCCCGGGACTCAGAACCCCTCCCAGGTGCTGGCAGGCCCACGCGCGTGCAGACAGCCCATGCCGAGGGAAGACTAAGGGGTGAAGGGACTCATAACCCCTCCCAGGTGCTGGCAGGCCCACGCGCGTGCAGACAGCCCACCCCAAGGGAAGACTAAGGGGAGATGGGATGCAACACCCTGGAAGCATGCCAACATATAAACCCCAAGTTCAAACTGTGTACTTGTTTTCCCAAGTCGCCCACGCAGCCCTCTTCCAAGTGCACTTTACTTCCTTTCATTCCTGCTCTAGTGCTTTTCGATAAACATTTACTCCTTCTCTAAAACTTGCCTCTCACTCTGCCTTATGCCCCTCAGCTGAATTCTTTCTTCTGAGAAGGCAAGAAGTGAGGTTGCTGCAGACCCATATGGATTTGCTGCCACCAACACCAGGATTAGCAGACCCAGGAGATAACAGACCCAGAAAATGTCCTGATGTCCCAATATCTTAAGAACAAGAACATTCTTAGTTTGAGAATAAGTTTTGCCTTAAAGATAATAATATAGATTCTTGTGGAAGAGAGTAGTAATGCAAGGATTAACAATCCTTCATTGCAAGCCCTTGTAGCAGAGCACATCTCACCCATGATTTTTTTGCTTTGATGTGTTATGTATAAATGAGCATTGTACCTAAGGTGGATATGTTCCTTCTTTTGCTTCTGGGAACACCATGCTCTGTCTGTGGAGTAAGCTTTCTTTTATTCCTTTACTTTCTTAATAAACTTGCTTTCACTTTACTCGGTAGATTTGTCCTGAATTCTTTCTTGTGCAAGATCCAAGAACCCTCCCTTAGGGTCTAGATTGGGACCCCTTTCTGGTAACACACCTGCCATGAAGAAAAAACTCAATATTTTTATAATTAACGTCATTGCTCTAAATGCATCAAAAGCACAACGAAATAAGAGTTGCTGACATATTAGGATAGTGTTAGAAATTGCTAAGTTATTGTCCAGAAAAAAGGAATAATTGAAGAAATAAAAATTAGAAAAGTAGGTCCTGAAGCACATTAAGAATTTAACAAATCATATAATTGAGAATGAAAATGAGCCATCATCTCTGGAGGTATGAATGTCTAGATACCTTGACTATGCCATGGCTAAAAACAACTAAAAATGTTGGATAAAATGAAAAATATATGTAAATGCTTTTCACCTCTTATCAACAAAATTAAAGAATACGTATCAGAAGGCCAAAATAAAATGAAAGTGTGACTTCATAGAAACAAGCACAGCAAGGAAACTGATTTTTCCCTTGAAAATATTTACAGACTGGGACACATTGAAACTTTGGTTTGGCAGCCTGTAGGTTGGGAAAGTCAGGAGACAAGCTCAGGCTTGCTCAGTGTTGGGGGTAAAATAGAAGACCTCTCTGCAAACAAACCTAAGCTCACAAAGGGGTAGTCTTGACTGTGAAGAGAATGTTAGAGCAATGGTCTGCCTTAAACCAGGGCACAGAGTAGAGAGTTGAAAAATAAAGACTCTTCAGTCTTACCAGGAATGCTGGGGAAAAAAAAAAAAGAAGAAGAAGGAGGAGGAAGAGGAGGAGGAGGAAGAGGAGGAGGAGGAAGAAGAAAGAAGAAAGAAGGAAGAAGAAGAAAAATAAAGACTCAATAAGAATTAGAACAGCTGTACATTTCCATAATCACATTTGAAATTTTATCAATAGGTCAACTCTTTCTCCAAAGAAACCACCAGGCCCAGATTACAGAAAGTTCCATCAAAGAACTCAATGCATCTTCCATAAATGATTTTAAGGTGTAGAAAGAGAATGTGTTCAGTGTAAGTTTATCATACTGACACTGACAAGCTCAGTACAGTACAACCTCCATTGTGATCATAGATACAAAACCAGAAACAAAGTTACAAAGCAAATCCAGCAATGTACTAAGAGGATAATACCGTAGGAGATGTTTATTTATTTATTTTTAGTTTAGTTTATTTATTATTATTATTATTATTTTGAGATGGAGTCTCACTCTGTTGCCCAGGCTGGAGTGCCATGGCACGATCTCGGCTCACTGCAACCTCCACCTCCTGGGTTCAAGTGATTCTCCTGGCTTAGCCTCCCGAGTAGTTGAGATTGTAGGTGCGTGCTCAGTTAATTTTTGTATTTTTAGTAGAGACAGAGTTTCACCATGTTGGCCAGGCTAGTCTCAAACACCTGACCTCAGGTGATCTGCCCACCTCGGCCTCCCAAAGTGCTGGGATTACAGGCATGAGCCACCATGCCCAGCCTCAGTAGGAGATGTTTAATAGAAGAATTAATAGAAAATCAATTAATGAATTCTACTACATGAACACATAAAAGGAGTTAAATTCTATGATCATCTCATTAGATACAGAAAAATTATTGAGACAATTCAATGTCTATCCGTGATAAAAATGTACAGAAAACTGGGGAAAAATGACTTTCTGAAGGTGATAATTATACAGCAATTATCAAGCTCAGTGATTAAATAATTACAGTCAGGAACAGGTCCCGAATTGCTTTAATAGCAGTTCTAGTCACCCTTCTCCTGAAGGTGCTTGCCAGTGCATTGAGGCAAGCAAAAAAAGTATAAATATTTGACAAACAAAATTAAAATCATTGTTATTTACATATAGCGGGTATTGAAAGCAATGAGTGAAGCTGTAAATTGGAATCAAAATCACTATGTAAAACCTACACATAAGTAATAAGACAATGTAATTTAAAGGATACCAATTACAGTCAATATCAGTTATTAATTTCCTAAAAATAATCTTAAAATATACGAAAATTTTATGGGGAAAATGTTGAAATTTTAATAAAATGCAGTCATGCACCACATAACGACATTTTAGTTAATGATGGACCTCATATTACAATGGTAGTCCCATAAGATTATAATGGAGCTGAAGAATTGCTATGGCCTACTGATTTCTGTTCCAGTTGCCTACAGCACTCAGTAACACGCTGCGCAGGTTTACAGCCTGGGAGCGATAGGCTATAGCATACAGCCTCGGTGTGTAGGAGGCTCTACCACCTAGGTTTGTGTAAGTAAGCACTCTCTATGATATTCACACAACGATGAAACTGCCTAACAATATATTTCTCAGAATCTATTCCTGTCATGAAATGATGCATGAGTGTATATTAAAGAACAAAAAATGAAAAGGAGAATTATATCCAACTAACATATTTTAACACTCAACATCACAAAGATACCAATTTTGTACACATGTATATACTTACACACCGCAAAAGGAAAGCTTTCGTCTCTTTTTTCCCTCTCTCTGTAGACACAGGGCTAGAGAGAAAAGTCTAAACAAGTAGGCCGTGCTAAGATCCCCGCAGCTTATTACCGTTGGACCATACCTCTGGTCTAATCATACTTTTTCACAGTTATCCATTTCTTCATCACACTTGGTAGAAAAATACACAGTCTTCTCTGTTTCTTTGGGTCTTCATTTCCTTGGGAAGTCTCTCATTTCACATAAAAATTTCATGACATAAGAATCTGTCTGCTTTTTTTGTTATTAATCTCTCAATTGTTGTAGGTGTTTTCACCATGAACCTCATGATGGAACAAGGAAAGAAATCTTTTCTCCCCTACACACTCAATAAGAGACTGAGGCATACCTCAAGAAATGAAAGGACAAAGTGCATACTTCACCTAATATTTAAAACATGATGATGAAAGCACACTAGTGTTGTGCTTCTTCAGACTCCAGGTTCTTTTCACTTAAGCCTGTTCTAGCCAGGATACCAGCAATTGGGGATAGGCAGAAGGAAACATTCAGCAACCTGGTTCTTACAAACACGCGTATGTGGCTGATTTAGTTCATCCACAAAGAAGAATGCAATTGACCCTCCTTCTCCAGAACGACATTATCAGCTCATGCAGTCAAGTGCCTGGGTAAGAAAATACATGCACCTGCCGCAAAGGTGTAAAATGTTAAAAGATTAAACAGATGAAGAAATTCCACATTGTCAAACACACGGTATTCAAAGCAGTTAGCGTAATTTTTCTCGATCTTACCTTTAAGTAAGTTTGCTTTAAAATTACTTAACGTGGCATTCTCCATCACACAATTACAGTCTTCATAGGCTCAATCATTTGTTCATCTATTCTACAAGTATGCATTCAGGCAGGGTTCTATTAAGTTTGGACATTCTTGTCTCACCTTGAGTAAGCAGTTTTAGAACTAATTATCCTATTTGTTAATATCTCAGGAAGTATAATCTTAAAATACTACTTTTAGGAAATGTTTTCCGAGATCCATACGCCAGTAACGAAATAAAGCTTGAGAAAACTTTGTGCTCTTCACTGAAGTCTTTTAGCCATCCTGGACTGTTTTATGTGTAACGAAGAGCTTGAATGGGCATAGAGGCCGTGGGAGGAGGCCCTAAGCACTGGCTTCCACCTGTGCACTAGGGCAGTTTGCATTTTACTCAGGCAACCCTGATTGTCATAGTGAGGAATCTCCACTGAGAACCAGAATGCCTAGAATTCAAGTCATGCTTCCTTACTTACTAGCTTAGGGAATTATTCAGAATTTCTACTTCCGTACCTATAAATAAGGGGTAAAAACATCTACCTGACAAGGTTTACTACGAAATAAGTGACACATTTTACGTAAGAGTCCTCTGAAATGAAAAAGATGTGCAACAAGCCTAAGTTACTACCAGGGCAAGGTAGTAAGTAAGTAGCCAAGGGGCGATAGAAATATTTTGAAAGCCATTCCCCTTGACTTACAGGATAGTCAAGAAACTAAATGTAATGAACACAAAAATTGAAGTTTAAAATGTGGGCACATCAAGAAATTTTAGCTGTGGTCCATTGTAGACATGTAGGATTTATAAGAGCATTACAAAGGGTTAAGAAAATCTGAGTACCCATGGCCAGATTAGCAAAGAGAGATACAGTAGGCGTACTCAGCATTATCCTGAGAAAAATAATGCAGTGGAAACCCTGATTTCAAGCCAAAGTCAGCTGTTTTGTAGAAGCTGCAGTAGTGATTTTGGCTAGAGATTGTTTCAAATACAATCTCCGGAGAGAATAGTGATATTATTCTGGTTTAGATCCAACTACCAAAAAAAAAAAAAAAAAAAGCACACTTTAAAATATTACAAACAATTTGAAATCTCCAGGTTTCACAGCAGCAGCAGAACTGGCCCTATGCAGTAGCTATTTATAAGTGGCAAAGCCCTTTTTCTGTATTTTGAGGGCTCAGAACATAGGCAATGGCCCCCATCGTGATGTTGTGGGCATGAAACGCTTACACTTTGATGGAAAACGCAAACAAGACAACTTTTCTATGTGTTCAAAGATTAGAAGGAATTCAACATTTTTCATTAAAAATTTTGTGGAGGTAATTATAGATTTATGTGTAGTTTTAAGAAATCATACAAAAGAGATCCTATGTGCATTTTACCTAATTTGCCCTGTATTAACATTTTGTAAAAACTATAGTATCACAACTAAGATATTGACATTGATACAATTCACCAATCTTATTCAGATTTCTCCAGTTTTACTTGTACTCATGCTGTGTGTGAGTGTGTGTATGTGTGTTTAGTTTCATTTGATCTTATCACGTGTATATGTTTATGTATCCACCGCCACAATCTGAATTAAACATTCTGTCACCATGAATATCCCTTATGTTGCCCTTTTATAAGCACACCCACCTCTTCACATACAGTCCCAAACCCCTAGCAACCACTATTTTACCACCATTTCTAAAATTTTGTCAAAAATGTCATATTAATGAAATCATACAGAAT